TGCAAACTTCAAACGTGCTGCAAAATTCTTTTTGGACAGCAATGGCTTCCTCCGTGGTGTCCTCCCATGTACTCCATTCTTGTTTAATGTTTTCCTTATTGTAGATGTGTCAAGAAAAATGTTAGCATGTGCCAAAGATTTCTGTAGGTTTTTAGCTGACACTCTGGGATTCTTCTTTACCTCATGCAGCATTCTGCGCTGTGCTCTTGCAGTCATTTTTACAGGACGACCAAGCCTAGGGAGAGTAGCAACAGTGCTAAACTTTCTCCATTTGTAGACAGTCTGTCTTATCGTGGACACATGAACATCAAGGCTTTTGGAGATACTTTTGTAACCCTTTCCAACTTCGTGCAAGTCAACAATTCTTGGTCGTAGGTCTTCTGAGAGCTCTTTTCTGCGAGGCATGGTTCACATCAGACAGTGCTTCTTGAAACCAGTAAACCCAAAACAGGTGTGTGTGTTTTAAGGGCAGGACAGCTGTCAGCAACACATCCAATATCATCACACTGGAGTCAAGGTTGGCTCACTCCTGGCTCCAATTAGCTCTGGGAGAAGTCATTAAGCTAGGGCCTCACATACTTTTTCCTCCCTTCACTGTGCATGTTTACATGTTATGTGCAATTAAACCATGGCAACATCTAATGTTTGTGTAGTATTATGTTCAGCAGACTGTTCTTCTATTGTTGTGACTTAGATGACGTTCAGAACACTTTTTACGCACAATTCATGCAAAACGCCACGTAATCCCAAGGGGTTCACATACTTTTTCTTGCAACTGTACAAGGTAATTATACTGCATCACCACAGTCTCTCCCAGGCAAAGATTTCAAAGCAAACTGGAGTTTCAGGATGTGCTGTTCAAGCTCTATTGAAGAATCACAAAGAAATTACAAGAAACAGGGAACGCTGAGGACCATATACACAGTGGTTGGCCATGGAAACTTAATGCAGCAGATGGAAACATCATGCTTGCTTCCTTTCAATATCAGAAAATGTCCAGCAGTGTCAACAACATAGAACTGACAGAAACCAGTGGGACCCAGGAACACACATCTACTGTGCAGAGAAGTCTGACCAGATGTGGGCTTTATCGAAGAATTGTGGCCACAAAAAGCCATACCTCCAACGTGGAAACAAGACAAAATTTTAAATATTTGGCTGTGGTAGGAGGCAGTTTGTTCACAAAAGAGCTGGAAAGCGGTACAATAATCAGAGTCTCTAGGCAACAGTGAAGAATGTTGGAGGTTCCTTGCAAGTTTGGGGCTACATTTCTGCAAATGGAGTTGTAGATTTGGTCAGGATCAATGGTGTCCTCAATGCTGAGAAATGCAGGCAGATACTTATCCAATATGCCATACCATCGGGAAGGCATGTGATTGGCCCCAAATTCTGCAGCAGGAGAATGACCCCAAAAATGCAGGGAATGTCATTAAAAACTGTCTTCAGCGTAAAGAACAAGGAATCCTGGAAGAGATGGTTTGGCCCCAACAGATCCCTTATCTCAACATCAAGTCTTTCTGAGTTACATGAAGCAACAGAAGGCTTTGGGGCAGCTACCACCCATAGAAGATCTGTGGTTAGTTCTTAATCGCTCCACTTGCCATCCGCCCTATAGCAGAAATACTGCTACAGGGCAGCACGGGTGCGCAAAATCACATATCTACGTGATTTTGCCATTCCGGGTAGGGGGTGCACGCCCTGACTGTGCTGCCCCATCCACGGCCTCGGCTGTCAATCATCGGGTCCCATCCGGTGATTACTCGCCAGCATCCAGTGATCTCTGAGTATTATCGACCGGGAAGGGGGGGGGGGGGGGGGGGGGACTGTATGTAAACAATACAATTCTCTCCCCCTGTCAGCTCCTGCACACTGCTTTCTATGGCTCTGCAGAGCAGAGCTTTACAAAGCGGTGTGCTTACAGTGAAGCGCACAAACAGTACATAATATGAAACGTCACACAGTTAACCCTTTGCTCTGCCCAGATGTTAACGCCTTCCTGCCCAGTGCCATTAGGAGCACTGATCATTGTATTGGAGTGACCACACCAAATATTGATTTGGATTTCTCTGATGTTCATTTACTTTCCCTTTTTGTTAATTGAGAAAAAAAATAAACTTAACAATTCTCTTTCTGAAAGCATTCTTAATTACAGCATTTTTTTCACACCTGCCTAAAACTTTTGCATCGTAGTCTATATGGTGCATGCTTGGCACACTTTAGGTGGATTAGTTTAGGCTTCTTCCATACCGATCAGACCTACTGGCTCAAGGCTCCCTATTTCATTTACCTTGTCAGTTGGCTATAATGTTATTGCTGTTGAAACCCAAATCCTTAATGGAAGGGGTATTTCTGACTCTTCCCACCAACTTCTCAGGAAATACCACTGCACATGAAAGGCCTCCTTTGCCTGCTGCAAGCATAGGAAGTCCCAGGGAATACTCCTATTTTGGCCTTTCTTCAGTCTGGTGTTGACCAGTGTCTGGCCCTTAAGGGACAGGGTTCTGCTTTATTCATGTTATCCCATAAACCCTATTTATTTATTTTAGGTACTTGTATAGCGCCGTCAATTTACACAACACTTTACATATATATTTTACATTCACATCAGTCCCTAACCCTCAAGGGGCGTACAATCTAAGGTCCCTAACCAACATTCTTACATGTATACTAGGGCCAATTTTAGACAGGATCCAATTAACCTACAAGCATGTCTTTTAGAGTGTGGGAGGAAACCGAGTGCCCGGAGGAAATCCATGCAGACTCGGGAGAACATGCAAACTCCAGCCTCATAGTTCATATCAAGACTGTTCTTCAGGGAATTGCTAATATATATTCCCTAATTTGACCACCTGTGTCTCCTTCTGGCCTACAACCTGGTGCTCTTTACTTCAGAGACCTCCCATTTGAACCAGTAGAGATATTCAGTTTGAAGACCTCACATATGAGACTGCCTTTGTGGCCGCCATTGCTTCTGTTAGGCGTGTTCGCAAAGGTGAAGTTAGGAGCTCTTCCTGTAAAGAACCTTTGTCTTGCTTTGCACAATTACAAAGTGATTTTGAGACCAAAACTTTCCTCTCTACCCAAGATGGTCTCTTCTCTCCATCTAAGGGAGGACATGGCTCTTCCTGCTCTCTGTCCTGCCCCAAAATATGCCAAGGAAATTGCCCTATATTGCCTAACTGTGGACAGACGTCAATAAATAAATAAATCTTTGTCCTGCCTATACGACTGTGTATAGGGAATCCTGCTCCACCAATGCTAGTTGCATCAGGAAACTTATTTCCAGGGCATAAGATCTTAAGGAAAGGGTCCCCATTTTCCTTATCGGAGTCCATTCCACCAGGGTTGTTGGTGTTTCTTGGGCATTCTTGTATCAAGCATATGTTTACCAGATTTGCAAGGCTGTCACTTGGTCCTCTTAACACTTTCAAGTTCTCACAAGTGGATGTTCAGGCCTCAGTTTAATCAAGCCCCTTGTTTACTTGCAGGCATTTAGCAGTTCTGTTAGCTGTGTTGCCATACCCTCATTTATTGCCTGAGTACATCCCATGGTCTATAAAGTTAGGTACTGCAAGATTTAAAAAAAAAAAAAAAAATGGAAATTTTGACTTGCCTGTACATTCCGTATCTTGGAGTATAGGGTCCAGGCCCCTCCTCTTCTGTCTTGATCATGCCTTTGTTTGCAAAACAAAGTGTGGGCGGGGTTATGATACTCTGTGGGCGGCATTTTTGTTTGCTAGTGTTCAGTTTAGCTCAATATAACCCATGGTCTAGGCATATAAGCTCTGTACTGTACTGCAAGATAAGAAAATTACAGGTAAGTCAAAATGCCTATTTTTCTTTTGTTGTGAGTAGGAAAGACTTAAAATTCCAGTCTTTTTTTTGCTGTCCAGCTGGAGAAATATCTCTTCACTTCTGTCCTGCAGACGCCACAGGAAGTGAGGAAAACTCTCTAAAGAAGGGGTAGTCCCCTCTTGCATAGTTGTCACCGGTGTCCTCATTGGAAGTTTTCACTTTTTTCTTTTTTCCCACCTTTTTTGTTGTGGTGGCAATTAAATCAAAAGGGTTTCCCCTGATTTTCTGGGTCAGGGACAAAGACCACAGTAAAATTTAAGCGGGTCTAACACCTACTATTCTAACAACAAACCGCTTTACCTTTCATATATTACATATATCTTAAAACAGCTGCACAACTGTTTCCCGACTCCCATGTGTTTATATTTATTTTTAATAGCAGTTATGGGTGTTTGTGCAATACTACTTTTTGCTTTTGATTTACAACATCTGTCTTAATGGTTCTACTAAATACCTTATCTTAAGCATGGTTCTTTTAAAGATGTGGATAGATTTAAGCAATAAAAGATATTGGTCTATTTTTCAGTTTCTCATTCTTTACTTTCCATCTTATTCTGTCTTGCCTATTTTGGGTTCAGTTTGATTTCATTGCACCTTTCATGCCAGTGGTGGAGTCGGCACATCCTACTTCATGGAGACAGGGCTTGCGCAAAACTGGCATAGTCCTTGTGCCAAAAGGTGACAAGTCTATGGTGAGGAATAGTGTGCGCACTTCTGTGGTTCCAGGTTGCAAAATATATATAATCAGATTTACCTCACTGTGCATGGTTTTGACTTTTAACTATGTTTTAATCTATATGGTGATAAGTGCTGTTCGTAATGACTTATCTAACATACACAAAAGTGGTAAATTGGTTTCAACAGTGGGGTTTTCTATTTTTATTTCATTAACAAGTTTTCCTGTGTGTTTTAGATTTTGTTTCCAGTGATGTTTTAACACCATTTAGATTCACACTTGGGTTTTTAAATCATAAATCTCTATGCCAAAGATTATTCTGTTGTGTAAACCTAAATTAAGTGACCATCAAAGAACCTGCAGCAAATGATCGAATGCCTTTGCAAATCTAGTTGATTGCTTTGGTGTTGGGTTCTATTGGCATCAGGCTAAGAAGCAAAATCAAATCTTTAATATCCTGTTTTTGCAGTTCCCCACTCCTGCCACCAAAATATCACCTAAAGAAGAAGAAAGGAAAGATGAGTCACCAGCCTCATGGCGCTTAGGACTTCGTAAAACAGGAAGTTATGGTGCTTTGTCTGAGATTACTGCATCCAAAGAAGCTCAAAAAGAAAGAGACTTTACTGGTGTCATGCGTTCTGCCTCAAGTCCAAGACTTTCTTCTACGCTAGACAATAAAGAAAAGGTGTGTCTGCTATATGATTGAAAGACTTACATTGCAAAGCACATACAAGTATTTATTTAGGAGAAATTTCAAATAAACATTTTGATTTCTAAATTTTAAAGCATAGTTTCAGGGAGATATACACAAATCCCTGTAACTGAAGCTCCAAGTATCCAAATATGGGGCTGCCTTTTGCTCTTTTTATTTTAGAGGTGTTTGTTCTGGGCTTTAATCATGATCTTTGTTTCCCCACTTTGAGTCATTAACCCAAGCTTTTGCTTTGGTTTTCAGGAGAAAGATGGTAGAGGGACACGGCTTGCATACGTAGCTCCAACAATACCTAGGCGTCTTGCAAGTACTTCTGATATAGAAGAAAAAGAAAATAGGTAATGTATACTATTAAGAGAACTCAAAGCATATGTTGGGGCAAAATAAAATAAAAAATGCAAAAACTATTTCCAGTACATTCATATTTCTTTTATCATTTTTAAAAGCTCAACAAGTACAAAAACATGTTCTGCTAGTTTTCCAGTGTGCTAACTTTGGCTGGGGCTTCAGTGTAATTTAAGCACTGTGTTGTAACCAGTGTTGTGATAGCTGCATGCTTGCATGCAGCACTTCCATCTCTGGCCATCCCATCCCACATACATAATTGATTTTTTTTTTTTTTTTTTCTTCAGCAAAATAATGCTGCTGCCTTGATTCCCAAGAGTATTCCCTCATTGCTGTGTAGGGAGTAAGGTTCTTGGTAAATGTAGAGGGGAAGAGGTCAATTTTGCTCAATACTTTAACATGTACTTTCGGTGATTTTTAAAAGGTATTTGTTTAAAGGCTTCAAAATTTTATTACATTTATTTGCTTCAAATTCTTCAGTCAACACCTGTCTTCTAATGCCTATGCAGAAGCACTGTATCTGGATAGGTGCAGTAAAACCTTGGGTCCAGTACCTGGACCTCACATTCTGGGGACAGTCTGTTTTGCTTACTCCAGACCCTAGATTCTTCATAGGTACTTACCTTGGCACATGGTGCAACATGTTTTCAGGCGCAGGGTGTTGTGCGGGGACAGGGTCCATCACTGCGGCACCCAGTTCTTGAACACTCCTTTTTGGGGTATTTAAATAATGGGGTCTTGTGAGCTACTATGGTGTGAGAAAAGTTAACTTAATGTGCTAAATCAATATTGTGAATTTTTAACCAATGTGATAAAATAAAAAATGAAATAGAAATAGTGGGTCGCCTACACTCTACATATACTCATACCAATGTGTCATATCAAAATTATATAAACAATGTCGCACTCCACTGACAATCAAATAAGTGATAACAAAATGAAATACAGTCCAAAACAAAGTACTGTATTTTCCGGCGTATAAGACGACTTTTTAACCTTTGAAAATCTTCTCAAAAGTCGGAGGTCGTCTTATACGCAGGTATACGTCAGGGTGGCACTTTTTAGGGGGCGCGACGCGGTGCCGCCGCCCCCCCCCCCCCCCCCTCCAACGGAAGGGTCACTAAGTAGGGGCTGCTGTTTCTTACCTGGCTCCGGTCCCACGACGATCCAGTCCAGGAAGTGCGGCTGCTCCTTCATTCAGTTCGGCCACTGGATGTTCGCGCGGCTGCTCGGCTCCGCCTCCTCACCGGTGATTGGCCGCCAAAACTGTAGCTCAGGAAAGGCACACACAGGCGGCCAATCACTGGCAAGGAGGCGGAGCCGAGTGGCCCCACGAAAATCGAGTGGAGCGGCCGGTAAGTGTGCCGTGCAGAGGTGCTGCTGCAACCACATATGATGGCTGCAGCATCATACTGGAACAGGGGTCAGCAAGTGTCATTGGTGTCAGTGGGAGGAATAGTGCCCCATCATTGGTGTCACTGATACCAATGATGGGGCATTATTCCTCCCACTGACACCAATGATGGGGCACTTCTTCTCCCCCCCCCCCCCCTTGACAACAATGGGGCACTATTCCATCCCCCACTGACACCAATGATGGAACACAATTCCTTCCCCCACTGACACCAATGTTGGGATACTATTCCTCCCACTGACACCAATGTTAGGACACTATTCCTCCCACTGACACCAAAGATGGGGCACTATTCCTCCCACTGATACTAACGATGGGGCATTATTCCTCCCACTGATACCAATGATGGGGCACTATTCCTCCCACTGACACCAATGATGGGGTACTATTCCTCCCACTGATACCAATGATGGGGCACTATTCCTGCCACTGATACCAATGATGGGGCACTATTCTTCCCACTGACACCAACGATGGGGCGCTATTCCTCCCACTAATACCAATGATGGGGCACTATTTGTCGCTCTGACACCAATGATGGGGCACTATTCCTCCCACTAATACTAATGATGGGACACTATTCCTCCCACTGACACCAATGATGGGCACGATTCTTCCCACTGGTGTGCATTGGAAGAGGGGTAGTCTTATACGGTGAGTATAGCCCAAACACTATATTTTAACAGGAAAAGTAGGGGGTCGTCTTATACGCCCAGTTGTCTTATACGCCGGAAAATACGGTATGTAAAATTACAATCAGTTTTGCTGCAAAAAAATGTCCTTATTCAATCCGTGACTTCACACTCCTGATGATGTGACAAAAATGATTTGCGTGCAATCCACCAATAATAAAATGTACACCTTCACTGGCTGTGCTCTCACCTGGTATATATGACCAACCCATTGTAAGGTTCTAATAAGGCTTGTGTCCCTTTAATTGAACTTAGAGCTGGATGGGAATATCACTCTTCACTGTTAGGGGTCTCCTCACTTCATTAGGACTCTTCCTCCATAAGTATATGTACCATAAAGAGTAATAACATAGTGCCTCATCTTCTTTTTAAAACAAAGTAGTGCACTCACATGTAATACGAGTTAAAGTCGCTGTAAAACGTAAAATCAATCCACAGTGTGCTTTTGTAATCTGTAGTATACTTGCTGTGTGTTGCCTTTTTAAACGTCTTGACTTCAGAGCCCCTCCCCTACGCGTTAGGCCACAGAGTCACATGGCTTCATCAGGGGATATAATTGTATGGCATGGCGCTCATTCATTTATATAGGGATCTATGGGCACCATTTTCTAGTGGTCCGCATTGTCAGTGCAGCGCAACACTGTTTATATCATTTTGATTTTCCTTTTGGAGTATGCCCACCATGACGAATGAAGCCTGGACTTTAAGTCGATTGTTGCAGACAGGGTTCCTGTAAAAACAAACCTATGTTTGAAATGTATTAACTTCACCGTGCTAACTTTTTAAACTTTGTATTAAAATTGAAGCCACTGAGAGCTCGGTGGTTTCTCAGGCAGAGGATGGTGTTAGTGCAGTGATGTGTTTACAGGGGCTCACAGGAGTGCGGAACTGTCTGGTGTGCTGCTCCAGACCAGCCCGCCTCTTATGAATGGTGCGTATGTACAGTTGTGTTCAAAATAATAGCAGTCAGACATCACTAACCTGATCAATCACTGTTTTTGGTAGAAATGAACTTTCTACATGGCAAGTAATTTACTAGCAGGTGTGGTAGAGTAATAGAAATCCAACAGACCCAACAGTCATGACATGCATGCTGCTGATTCTGTGTAATTGAATCACTAATACTAATCACTAATAGCAGTGTGGAGTTCTATTAGTGAGGTCATTCATTCTTTGAAAAACAGGTGGCAATTATTGCCCTTATTTAAGGAAGGAAGGCAGCAAATGTTGTACATGCTGGTTACAGTGAATTTCTCTCTGAATTCTGAGGAAAATGGGTCGTTCCAGACATTGTTCAGAAGAACAGCGTACCTTGATTAAAAAGTTGATTGGAGAGGGGAAAACATATAAAGAAGTGCAGAAAACGATAGGCTGCTCAGCTAAAATGATCGCAAATGCTTTAAAATGGCAACCAAAACCTGAAAGACGTGGAAGAAAGCTAAAAACTACCATTCAAACAGATAGAAGAATAGCCAAAATGGCAAGGACTCAGCCAACAATCGGCTCCAGGAAGATCAAAGAAGGTGTAAAGTTACCTGTGAGTACTGTTACAATTAGAAGACGCCTATGTGAAGCCAAGCTATCTGCAAGAAGCCCCCGCAAAGTCCCACTGTTGAAAAAAAGAGGTGCTGAAGAGGTTACAATTTGCCAAAGAGCACATTGACTGGCCTAAAGAGAAATGGCGCAACATTTTGTGGACTGATGAAAGTAAGATTGTTCTTTTTGGGTCTAGTGGCCGGAGACAGTTTGTCAGACGACCCCCAAACACTGAATTCAAGCCACAGTACACTGTGAAGACAGTGAAGCATGGTTGCGCAAGCATCATGATATAGGGATGTTTCTCATACTACGGTGTTGGGCCTATTTATCGCATACCAGGGATCATGGATCAGTTTGAATACATCAGAATACTTGAAGAGGTCATGCTGCCTTATGCTGAAGAGGAAATGCCATTGAAATGGGTGTTCCAACAAGAAAACAACCCCAAACACACCAGTAAACGTGCAACATCTTGGTTCCAGACCAACAAGATTGACGTTATGGTGGAGTGGCCAGCCCAATCCCTGGATCTTAATCCAATAGAAAACTTGTGGGATGACATCAAAAATGCAGTTTCTGAGGCAAAACCAAGAAATAGAGAAGAACTGTGGAATGTAGTCCAATCATCCTGGGCTGGAATACCTGTACACAGGTGCCAGAAGTTGGTTGACTCCATGCAACACAGATGTACAGCAGTTCTCAGAAACAGTGCTTATACAACTAAATATTAATGAAGTGATTCAAAGGAAAGCAAAATCTTCAAACATTTTTCAGTTTATATAGTGAATGTTTGAGTTTGTAAAGAAGAATACAAACACTGCTATTTTTTTGAACAGTCTAATCACTTTTCTTCAATTTTGTTAGAGGAACGACACAAATTTGATATTTTTCTTCGTTTTGATTTGGAATAGAATGCGTAGTGTTCCCAATGCATTTGTGTGTATGGAAATAAAAGCTATTAGAAGGATTGTGAGCTTTATTCACTTTTTTCAACACACTGCTATTATTTTGAACACGTGTATGTATGGGGTGTGTGTGTGTGTGTGTGTATATTATGTACACACACACGTGTATTCTGTGCAAAAGGTGTAAATTCTGTAAACTAAGAATGCTTTCAGAAATAGAAGTGTGAATAGTTTATTTTTATTATCAAAATGGAAAGCAAATGAACAGAAGAGAAATACAATGTAATATCCCCCCATTGTGTTTAGCTGGTTAGTGGGCATGGAGAAGGGTGGAGTTGGCTGTAATTTACCACTGTGTATACACCTACATGTGACTTGATGGTCACATGGCCTGCTCAGATGTGATAGGGAGGAAATGCTTAGGGTAGCGTGCACTGGCTGCCAACACTGCTCTGCTGCATCCCCAACTGCAGTGGGGACATGGATAGTAGAGGGGAGTCAAGAGGATCAACCAGGTCTTTTGCAGAATGCAAAAAATGAGTCATATAGTGACTGAGTATAAACAGCATGTAATACAATATTTGATAGTTTTTAATGATGTGGGTGTAATGCATTGAGACAAGTACACACTATATAGGGATATGCTTTGTTCATATTTAATGTCTGAAGTTTACAACCACTTAAGGGTAAAAAAAAAATTCTCCCCCCCTCCATCAATAAACACCTGATTACCTGGTTCTACTCGCCAATCCAGCACAATTGGCTCCTGCTGCTGGCAGTCAAACTCCTGTGAGTTGGGGGTGTGGCTTAGCATCACTGTGTGTGTCTATCGAGGGCAAAAAAAGGTCACAGTGGTTTTTTTTTTGTTTGTTTTTTTTTTTTAAGTGCTTTTAATAGTCCATTGTCAACACTCTCTTTAATTGTACAGGGAATCCTCTGTCGGTTTGTCTCGTCTTGGTAGTTCTTACACGAGAAGAAAATGGGAAGATGAAAAGAAAAATAATCCTGTGAATGAGATTTTAAGTACAACGTATCAACGAAGGTAAAAACAAAAAAAATCTATGGCCTGAACAAAATAAAATATCTACTGTGTATATACCCTTTGTATACAATATATTCTGTACACTTACAGTGGAATACAACACAAAAAGCATTAAAATGGACACATTTTTTAAATTTAATAAAAGCTATTAAACTCACAAGAATACTTTTAGTAGTGGTGCATGTATATGGCCTGGAGGAGAGTTCTCATTCTCTGTGGCCAGTTGCAGCACTGTGTATAGACACATGACATCTGCACTGTCTCCAGGTGGAAAGCTGGTGAGCTTGCTGGTTGCTCTTCACTGACCTCACACAGAAAACACGGTTTCTGCAGTGCCTGCTATAGGTGGATTTTTTAAATTAATTTTAATATTACAATATCTAAACATTCCACTTATAAATACAAATCTTCGAAAAGACAAATTTTACCAATTTCCCATATATGTCTTTTTATTTTTGGGGTCTCCTGCACCTGCCAAAAGTCTAGGGATCAATCCTTTAGCTGCATTTATCAAATGAAATAGCAGCATGTTCTTATATTTTTTCACTGTAAACTCAGTAATATGGAATAAACAAACCCAAGGGTCTCTCAATTTGCTAAACCCCAATATCTCCTGTATTTGTTGGATTATCACTTGCCAAAACTCCTGTATCTTGAGGCAATCCCACTATGTGTGCCATTGTTCCTTTAATCCCACACCCCCTCCAACATAAAGGTGAACTTTTGCTTTTTGCAACTCTTCGTTGCTTATGTGCTACACTTGGTTTAATATACCATCTTACTAAACATTTATAATTATTTTCAACAATATTCGTATCTTTAAGTGGATTTTATCCCATTACATCCCTGACTCTAATATGATGCTATGATTACCCTGGCCTTCTACCCCTGCCTCTGAGTGCTGGTGATCTTTGTACATTTAGTATTGATGTGTTTTTATTGACTATTGTACATGACCAGTGCTGTTTTATTAGCTTTTGATTAAAGTGGAACTTTAGTATGAAACTTAAGTTCTGCTAGATCACTTCAGGCTGGCTCCTTTTTGCTGGTAAAGCTATGTAAAACATTAAAATTAATGCCTGCACTGTTTAAAATCCAGTAATACACGGTCTCATCCTGCTCCGCACATACTCAGTTGCTCTCTATTTTTTGGCCCTGTGCTAAAACACGTAGAGGCTGCTTTGCTGACAGTCCAAAGATTTGCTACTATTCAGCGGGCTCTGGGCTTCAGCAAAACGACAGCCTGCAAGAAGAAGAAACAGGAACAATGCTGGAGCCAATTTACTGCACACTAATTTTGGTATCATAATTAATAATGTGGAGAGTATGTTCTTTGCTATGGAACATTAGTTTTATCAAGTTGTTATGGGTAAAGTTCCAGTTTAGGGCCTTGTTCACACCAATGTGCAGTGACATGCATTTTTCTGCATGTGTTCTGCAATGGCACAAAGAAAACAATTGTTCCCTATTCACACCTCAACACTAGTATTGCATGCAGATATTTTTCTACACAGGTATCTGCAATGTGTATAAAACTCACGGGAAAATGCGCTTGAAAACTGATGTAAATTTTGTGTCTCTGCAAGTGCAATCTGTGCTTTTTTTTTTTCCATCAGGTTTTCTTCATGTATGGTGTGAACAAGGCGGGGTGGATTTGATTTAAATCAAGTTGATTTAAATCACTAGTGAAAAGGCTCGATTAAATCATAATGTTTAAAGAGCAGCTGTCATCTTTGTCCTGCAGCTGCTCTTCCTCTGACCTGCTGTTGACTCATCGACCGTCCCATTCAATTTAATGGGACGGCTGGTAATGCAGCAGTGGCACAACAAGGTGAGGGATGTGGCGGCAGCAGGTGAGTGGATGCCCGCTAAAACGCACTGCCATAATGGATCTAAAATGACAGGTGCTCTTTAAATGTAAGGAATCTGACTCATTCTTGCTGGTAGTTAGAATCTTTAATATTTGCTAACCAAATGAAGGTTTCAGTTTTAGAATAATAAGCTGTCAGGTTAGTAAAACCGCAATATACGAACCGATTTTAGGTTAATCACACATAGCTGGAGAACTACAATTCTTTTATTTCATGTTTTTTCTCATGTTTACTGTTGTGTAACAATTGTGTAAATGCATCAATGCAGTGCATGTTATCTTGGATTCATTGAATGAGTTTACCAAAAATGTAAATATTGCAGAATATACAGCCTCATGCTACATAACTAAGCTTTTCATGCTGAATAAACTAAACTAATGCATCGTAAATAGAAAACTCTTTAGATAGATTTTTACTTCAAAAGTATTTTATTAAAATAAATTTTGTTGAAAAATTAAAACTGGTTTTATATAAAAAATAAAATCCAAATTTGTTTAAAAACTATTTTTATCCACCCTGGAGCAAGGCCTAAAATCTTGTAGCTTCTGTTTAAACCCCTTTGGATATTATATAAAAATAGTCCAAAGTCCTTCTCTTCCTGTGCTCATGTTTTAAAATTACAACTAGGGAAAGATTAATACTGGGAGGGAGCCAAGAACCGTTTTATCCAATTTTTTTGGTTAGGCGTATGTTATCGGCAGTACATGTTTAAGCAACATTACTATATGTATCAATTACAATAAGGTACTGTACTGCTGGTCATTGTTAAATTAGAAACAATTAGAGGAATTAAGCTAGCCATAAGTTTTTGTTTTTTTTTTTTTTTTTTTTTTGGTTCAAGTAGTCTGCTGAATGGAAATAAAGAGCATATCTCTCAATCCACACAAACAAGTTTTATTCAGGATTACCCCACTGGGGCAATGTGTTCTAACAGCAGGACCCAGCTGCAGCTGCTGATCGACAAGTTTTCCAGTTTGTCCATTCTACAGAAGTCAATCATGTGACTTCTGTTGAACAGGGAACATCCACACACTAATCAAAATTCAGACAGTCCCTGCTGAGTCAGCTGATTTTTCAGTCCATCTATTGCAAACTTTAGTCTTTTTACCATTGTGAATGTTTTTTTCTGAGTTGGGCTGATCATTTTATCAATTAGCTACATGAGTCCTATTTATTACTTTATTACTATAGTATTACTACTATAGTAATAGGATTGGTTTAAAACATCTAAACTCTGCTGTGATATTTGGTTCATGAAGGCTTCTGTAACCACCTCCCGCTCGCCATATGACAGGCACAAGGCGGTTCTCTAGTTCTGGGAGGATGTCATTAGACGTCCTCCCACTATAACCGTTGCGTGCGCGCCGATCGCTGGTGCGCTGTGTCCCTGGGACACAGCGGGTCACCGATCAACGGAAAGAGCCGAAGACGTCGGCTCTGTCATGTGATTAGCTGTGTCCAATCACAGCTGATCACATGTAAATAAGGAAATGCCAGTTATCGGCATTTCTCTCCTCACGAGCTGTCACGCTGACAGCTCGTGAGGAGAGGAGAGCTGGTAATCGCCATTCCTCAGAGGGGACATCTGCACTGATGATCAGTGTAGCCCGAGCAGTGCCACCTGTCACAGCCCATCAATGCCACCTGCCAGTGCACATCAATGCCACATAGTGCCCATCTGAGCTGCCTTTCAGTGCTGCCTATCCGTGCCAGTCAGTGCCGCCTATCAGTGCCATGAGTGCTGCCTGTCAATGCTAATTAGTGCAGCCTATCAGTGCCCATCACTGCAGCCTCATTAGCGCACATCAGTGAAGGAGAAAAATCATTTATTTACAAAATTTTATAACAGAAACTAAAACTTTTTTTTAATTTTCAGTTGTTTTTGGTTTGTTTAGCAAAAACTAAAAAAACACAGAGGCGATTAAATACCATCAAAAGAAAGCTCTATCTGTCTCAAAAAAAAAAGATACAAAATTTCATATGGGTATAGTGTGTTGCATGACTGCACAATTGTCATTCAAAATACGACAGCACTGAAAGCTGGAAATTGCCCTGGGCAGGAAGGGGGTATAAGTGCCCAGTGGGCAAGTGGTTAATTGCATAGAAGGGCCAATACTTCTTGACTACTCTGCCACAGACTCTTAGAGTTATGTATTCAGGCAGAGTTCAAAACATTAATCAGATTCTTCTTAGTCAAAAAGTGTGTTTTTTTTTTTTTTTTTTTTTTTTTTTTGTTTTTTTGTTCCTGCTGTTTGTTTTATAAACTTTTTCGTATAACATACCTGCTGAATTTAATATGATCCGTAATTTCTTTTTTAGAATGTCTAATTTAATCCATAATACACACTTGCTTTTAGATATGATTTGTGAAGATCTTTGTCTTATAATGTATATCCTTTTCTTAGTGCTTCTTTTGGTAGACGGCAGGATGAGCTAATTAGTTCAGGTGTTTCCAGTTCAACCCCTGTATCTACACCAATGATCACATCGTCTGGGATTACAAGAAGTCTTTCTAGCACTATTAATACGAAAAGCACACTAGCTTCTTCAGGCTTATTAAGCAGGTATCCTTAAAAGTATTTTTTATACATATATATTTTTTTTGTGAAATGTCTGGGCTGTAATATTGGTTTCTGCAGTGGATCCTACTGTGGGTGCTTCCCTTGGCCCTTGCTAATCTGGTCTATACATAGACCTAATTCTAAACAGCCCAAGTAGTAGGCTTCCTTTCAGAAAGGAAACTACCCTCTCTCAAAACACATGTGGGGCCAGGACAAGGGGTGGGCAGAAGGGGCAGCTTCCCTGGGCACAACTGTTTATTGCGAGGTTGGGGACACCTTGTGTAGAGTACAACAATACTACTCCTGTCAGACCAGCACTGGGAGCAGCAAGGAGAGAGCTCGGAGGAGATGCTGGTTACATATCTTCTAAGCTCGCACATCATGAGAGTGTGTGTGAGTGCTGGATGACCCTGTGTCATCACTGCGTGGGACATAAGATCAAAGATATGCCCCTCTGTGAGATTCTCCATGTGAGTTCTTGGTCTCATGGCCTTTTTTGAGGCTATCCCATTTGCCCAGTTTCATTCCAGACCACTCCAACACTAGATTTGGTGGCATGGAACATGCATGCTCTTTCTCTTGACCTGCCCATGATCCTCCACTCAAGCATGAAACGCCATAGCTAGATTTCCAGCCCAGCCATGGAATAAAGTGATGAGATACCAGACTCTCAGGCTGGGGAGAAGTGTTCAGTCCCTCATCGTTCAGAGAACATGGTCACAATGAGAAGCCAAATTTCCTATCAACATCCTGGAGCTCATACCAATAAAACATAGGGCAGTCCAGAGTTGCAAAACTATCTTCAAGGTTAGATTGCAATAAAACACCATGGCTAGCCTATATAAATCTCCAAGCGGGGTACCAGTAGTCATGCAGCCTTGAAGGAAGCAAGTCTGAGCATCTCTTGGACAGAGTGGACAATTTGAAAATGGGATTACGTTAGCTGTCACTGCCTGGACCAAGGGAAGTGGACCTTTCACCCTGACACAACTTGATATGTCAGAGATGGGGGACCCCAGATGTGGATATCTTGGCCTCCATATTCAGCAAGTCACCTCCTGTTTTGTAGCCAGGCCCAAGGATTCTCTAGCCCTGGCTTCAGATGCTTTGATCTATCCCTGGTCTCAATTCTGGCTAATCTATACTTTTACTCCTTTCATCTCATTGCGCCAAGCTATCCCAGAAGACTGTCTCTAGTAAAGTAGCCTTCTTGATGGCTGTGACGTCTGTAGGGCACTTCTCTATTAAAAAAAAAAAAAAAAAAAAAAAAAAAAAAAAATCCTCATTGTTCATGACAACAAGGTAGCCTCGCACCCAAGACCTTTCTTCTTGGTGGTGTCCGTCTTTCAACTTAATGAAGATCTAGTTATTTCATCTTTTTACCCTACTCCTAAGCACTCCAAGGAGATTTTTCTTCACTGTCTGGGCAACTGGTGCCATCAGTCCACCTCAAACCTATAGCTTCCATCAGAAAGACTGACTCCCTATTCCTCTTGTCTCCAGGACTTCGTCGGGGATATCCTGCCTCAGTCAACCATTGCTGAATGGATACATCAAAGGACATCACAACTCCTGCAGTATTATGGGAGTTTATTGGATATCGCAGTATCAAGCTTCTCCTGCCTAACTTTGTAAGGCACCTGGTCTTCTGTTCTTTTTTCACATTTCTTCCAGGTGACGAAGCAGCCTTTTGCCGCAAGGTTCTTTGCAATGGCACTCTGAAGCTTGGTCTGTTAGCCCTTGTGTGTGTTGGGCCTGCTGGCACAGTTCTAAGTGCCTGTGTTATTCCCCACCTTTCTTATTCATTGCTTGGTAACGTCCCAGGGTCTATGAATGCCAAACTGGTGTCCTGTACTGTATGAGTAAGATTAGAGGAATTTAAATTTACCTCTACTTTCCATATGTTGGAGTACAGAACACTACCAGGGCTGTGTCTTGTACTGTAGTTCAAGATATGGCACTTACAAGTAAGTGGAAATTCCTATTTTTACTGAATACTCTTCATTACTAGTTTGTCATTTAAATCTAAGCAGAATGTTTGCTGCGCAAATCATTGTATCGCCCACTTTTTCCCATGTTTACAGAACATTTACATTAAACTTTTTCTGGCCACTTAACTTTCTCCTGAAGACTTCAGGATGTGAAATGATTTTGGTTAAAGCAAATGGCAAATCTTTTTTTTTTTTTTTTTTTCCTTGGCATCCAGTCAGGTTCCCCTGTCAGTTTTTCAGGCAGACCTTATTGGACAGCCTTGTGTCTGTTTTTATACCTAGTTACCTCTGATCCAATCCACTTTAAAAAAAACAAAAAATCTGTCGTCCTCCGTCTAGATGGATCGGAGGGCAATTGGGTGTAAACACTGTGGAGTCTATTTTATCCACAGCTGCTCCATAGAGCAGAGCGAGCTCTGTCTGTGTCCACTCTGCAGAATCTGAGTGGACATGGATGTGTCATCCGCCTGCTCGGCTGTGTTGAGATTCTCAGGGATCTGTCCACTGATCCCCTGCTAGGCAGCCCGCCCTGTGAAAGGGGCCAAAGTCTTATTCACATTTTTAGGTCTTTGTAAACTGACTTATATGGTTTAACCATTTCTGTAAAGTCTTGTACAAAATAATTTAATATATGGCAAAGGCCTCCCTAAACAGGATAGTAGCTTCCTTTTGAACTTTCTCACTGAAATTTTGTACTGTTCTGAAAAGGTGTAAGTGATCTAAATCTTTCCCCCACAACTTTCATCAACTATATAGTCAACCCTTTTCTCTCGATTTTTAGAGCGTAATGTTTTACCTATTGCCTTTCGTGTGAATTAAATGTTTTTTAAAAAAAGTTTTCATTGTGTTTTCTTTTCTTTGTATGTTGCTGCTCACGCATAGTACCTCAAACCGTTTCTGGGCAGAGGAGAGTTCTGAAAAAGAGAAGGAAACTGTCCCTACAGCAGTCACCATTCCAGTTGTAAATCCTATTCCCACATTCACATCTTTGACCACAACTTCCGCTGGCACTGTTCCTTCCACAACAGAAGTCAGGGAAAGACGGAGGTATGTCTGTTCTTAGACATATACGTCATTGTTAATTGTATTTCACATCTGTAGTAAAAATAAAACAAATGACCAAAAATGCCTTTTTTTTATTTATTTTTTTTTTTTTTTTGTGCCGTCCCATAACTTGTAGTGAACCTGTGCTTTGCTTATGCATTGCAAGGGAATAGGATGACCTTAACTGCTGCTCTCCCCACCACTAGAAGTGAAGAGAATTTAAACCTTACACAGGACGATGTGCCGTATGAAAGCACTAGGTACCTAAGCAGCCAAGGACCACAACTGTCACATGCAAAACAAAGGGGAAAGTCAAATGCTCCCTATAGCCGGAAGTACCAGGCATTTCTCTTTTCCCCAGCTGCACATACCTTCCATTTGCTCCTCTGTTGGGAATAGTCAGCAGTTAGAGCACCTGCAGGGGCAAAGTGCACATTCATTTTGTTATGTGTTCCTGTATGACCGACGTTTGTTTTTAGGTCATACCTCACTCCAGTTCGTGATGAAGAATCCGAGTCTCAGAGAAAAGCTAGATCAAGGCAAGCCAGGCAGTCCAGAAGATCAACACAGGTATGTTCGGGATGCTCTTCTTGAAAGTCTATATTAAGGTTTTTATGCATTAGAGCCTTGTTAGGCCTATACTAATAATACTGTAGTAAGGATCATCTGAACAGTCATCTTTACTGAACTGTGTTGAGATGGGCAGGTGGTTGGAGCTGATACTGGTGTGGCTACTGTTGACAGTAGTTTTCTACAGCAGTACCTTCTTTGCAATGTCTGGGTTTAAGTACTGATTTTAGAGAAGGGCTCAGGCTGCATACAGTCTTCTGCTTCCACAACTGAAGATTGTCCAGCAAACATACTTCATTCAGGACAATGACTTGGTGGTAAGCTTATCTTTTCTGTCCAGACCTTCTGTGTGGTGCTTGAGTCTGAGCATAGCTGCTTCTTCCAGAGCCTTTCATACAGGTTTCTTTCTCAATTACATATCCTTTTTTACTTGATTAACCACTTAATGAACAAACCTTTAAACCCACGTTACAAGATTTCTTGCATAATGCTTCTGCAACTTCCTCAAAAATGTTTGTGGTGCATTATAATAGATTGCATTGGTTTTATTTTGCCATTACTGCTGCAAGTTGAGCGAACATTAAAATGAAGTGGAATATGAAGTCTTCATTGCACACAGTAATAAGTGAAAATTAACTGTTTATTCTCCAGCTGTAATTTTTCGGTGCATGATTAAAGATGTTAGGTGGGCATAGGGTAACCAGACCATTTATATTTTGCACACAATGATAAATGAGGATGAGTGAAGTTTTGTGGGATTTTGTGCATTCTGGATATAAGATAAAATTGATACCGGCTTAGAGATGTGACTCAAGATGCAGTGCAAGGTGTTAGAAATTGTCACTGCTGATTTCAGGACTTGGGAGAGATCCTGTACTTATTTGGAGGTGATGTATTAAAGACAAAGTATGGGATATATATATATAATAAAAAAAATACCTGCATAACTCCCCTCTGTGCTGCAGCATCTGTGTTATACTGCAGCTGCCCCATGTGGCTCTAAGACTGAGAATCGAGTGATTAAATGACAGCTGATCTGTAATGACATTTGTAACTGTTCTCCACTATGCTCCTCCAGTGATGAGGTAGGCTCCTGCTATCGGTCCACTATTATTAGACCTGGTTAAAGGAGAGCAAAAGTAAATGTATTCCTGTGACCCTCGAGAAACGTATAGCCAAAAAGCTTTGCTCATGCTGGTCTTTTAGTGAATAGATCCTGTACCATCTTTAGGTGATGCTTTAAATAAAAGTAGAAGGAAGGTATTTCAACTTTGTTTTTGTGTTCCATTTTTTTTTTTATTAAAAAAAAAAAAAAAAATTTGTTAGGGAGTCACATTAACAGATCTTCAAGAGGCAGAGAAAACAATTGGCAGAAGTCGCCCTACTCCAGCTAAAGATCAGGAAAGTGAAGAAAAACAAGACAAAGAAAAACAAGAAGACAAAAAAGAATCTGAAAATAAAAATGATGATTACCGGTACAGATTCTCCCGCAGCAGCACGGATGAGGTACTTAAAATGATTGTCTAATATATTATGTCCTTTGGTCTTTACAAATGTTTGCAGTCAAGACGTTACTGGGGTGGAAATGGCTATTCTAAAATCTGGCCATAGATGAGGGAGTTTCACACACAGACCTGATCTGAAGGCTCTGTAATGTCTGTCTGCTATCTATCAATATAAAAAAATGGCTTGTCCAAGAATACATTTTCCTGTAAATAGAGATTAGAATAGAGCATGGGCAGATAACTCCCAACACCATTTTATTGTGGGAGGGGGAAAAAAAAAAAAAAAAAAACTGTGGCCAGCCTGTTTTGTCACTTTTCCTTCCGAGAACAGTTGGCTGGGGAATTATTGATGTTGTCGTCCAACCCAGCCAAAACTGCCTGGATCAGGTAAGGATCATTTCATGTCAAATGCCGTTGTCACTAATCCTATTTGACAGGTTGAAACACAAGCTTGTATCCTAGTTAGCTCAGTATTTATCTTATGTTTTCACTTTTGTCAGATCTTGGATGAAAACTAAAGACACAATAGGATATTGGTCCAGACCATGTGTACTTGGTCACTAACGAGTTCTGTTATTGATATCAGCGATAGTGATAGTGTTAAGAATTATCAGTCCCAATCTTATTTCTTATGTTTTCTTGTTTGTCCAGAGGTACAGGCCGTTTTCCAGTACTATTGTCACATCATCCACACCGTCACTTTCTTCATCTACTGGTTCCTTGTATACTTCAAGTCAGTTAAACCGACCAAGCAGCTTAACTAGTCTCTCATCTTCTTACTCAAATTTCTCAAGGCTTACTGCAAAAGAGCCAGAGAAAGGTAACTGGGCTTTTTTTTTTTTTTTTTTTTAGTCTAAAACCTTGGTAATGGTTCTTAAGCAGCTGTTATGTATTACTGTGAACACTGGTCCACATTAGCCAAGTGCAATGCAATATTCTTGGTTACGGATTAAGCTGGCACCCAGTCATATATGATTTTGGAGTTTTTCTGTAGGCTACTACCTATGCAAGAAACTTGTTTTGTCTCGATGAGAACTTTTTTTTTTTTTTTTTTTTTTTTTTTTTTAGAGCTGATTCACATGTGTGGATTGAAGCTCAGGTTTCACAACTAGTTGTTCACCGCTTCATTTCAGGTTTACATCAGATTCAGGACAGGATTAGCTCAGGATCTTATCCTGTTAACACACATGCGGTTTAGAAATGGTTCCCATAGAAGTCAATAGCCTGTAATCTGCACCTGAACTGGACCGCACTGCTCAGAAATAGTGTATGACTTTCAGACTGCACCGAATCCGCACCGCCTGTGCATCGGACATATGTAAACAGGCACCATAGGAAGCAATGTTTTTTTCACAGGTCATGCAGATTGGATGCGAATAAAATTTGTATATACACTATATTGCCAAAAGTATTGGGACACCCCCTCCAAATCATTGGATTAAGGTGTTCCAATCACTTCCATGGCCACAGGTGTATAAAGTCAAGCACCTTGGCATGCAGACTGTTTCTACAAACACTTGTGAAAGAATGGGTTGCTCTCAGGTGCTCAGTGAATTCAAGCATTGATAGAGTGTGCGGAAGTCGGCAACTGTCTTCAGAGCCAATAGCTAAAGATCTCCAAACTGTGTGGCCTTCAGATTAGCACAACAGTGCATACAGTGCTTCATGGAATGGGTTTCCATGGCTGAGCAGCTGCATCCCAGCCTTACATCACCAAGGACAATGCAAAGCATCAGAGGCAGTGTGGTAAAGCACGCCACCACTGGACTCTAAAGTAGTGGAGACATGTTCTCTGGAGTGATAAATCATGATTTTGTCTGGCAATCCGATGGATGTGTCTGGGTTTGGCGGTTGCCAGGAGAACTGTACTTGCCTGACTGCATTGTGCCAAGTGTACCGTTTGGTGGAGGGGGGATTATGGTGTGGGTTTTTTCAGGAGTTGGGCTTGGCTTCCTGTAAAGGGAACTCTTGAGGCGTCAGCATACCAAGACATTTTGGACAATTTCATGCTCCCAACTCTGTGGGAACCGTTTGGGGATGGCCCCTTCCTGTTCCAACATGACTGCGCACCAGTGCACAAAGCAAGGTCCATAAAGACATGATAGAGTGAGTTTGGGGTGGAGGAACTTGACTTGCCTGCACAGAGTCCTGAGCTAGAACACCTTTGGGATGAATTAGAACGTAGACTTTGAGGAAGGCCTTCTCATTTGATATCAGTGCCTGACCTCAGAAATGCACTTCTGGAAGAATGGTCAAACATTCCCATAGGCACACTCCTAAACCTTGTGGACGACCTTCCTAGAATAGTTGAAGCTGTTATAGCTGCAAAGGGCGGGCCAACTCAATACTGAACCTTATGGACGAAGACTGGGATGCCATTAAAGTTTGTGTGTGTGTAAAGGCAGGCGTCCCAATACTTTTGGCAATATAGTTTATGAACTGGCACTTGGTTTTTTTTTTTTTTTTTGGGTTTTTTTTTTTTGGTTTTTTTCTTCATACATTTTATATAATTTGATACATTCACAGATGCAAAAGCTAGATTTTTTTTTTTCTGGTACATTTGCACGTTTACAGCATGACGTCTCTTGTGTTACAGATCTTTATATTGTCAACTTTTTTTTGCTCATTTAGAGTCGCATGAAAAAGTTATAACTTGTAATGTGTTTACCTGCTGTTTTTACTGTTAAATCTGTCTTTATAAGACTTGCAGGCACTTTATGAATAATGTTGTTCTTCAGATGAAAAAGAGGAGGAAAAAGAGTTGGAGGGACAAGTCTCAGTCAAAATCTATACGAGAAAGACGGCGACCGAGAGAAAAAAGACGTTCTACTGGTGTTTCGTTTTGGACACAAGATGTAGGTGTAGTTCATATAGTTTGATCTCCTAACTCGTTGGTTTTTTCTGACAGGTTTCCTAGTTGAAAGTCTTAATTTATAAGGCAGGGTTGTAAGCTTTATTATCTAGTCTTATATGTGTTCGTTTAACATGTCCTTTGGATAAAGATTCTGAATGGAAGGGTCTGGTTCATTATATTCACCTGGTGCACTGTTGTTTTTTTTTTTTGTGTGTTTTTTTTTTTTTTTTTTGTATTATATCTCTTATTAAATGTTTTTCCAATACAAAAAACTTCTAATGCACACAGAAATATAGAGAATTTCCCCAATAAACTGCCATTTGCATCATCTTATCCCCTGCCCTTCCCTTACCCCCCCCCCCCCTCTCAAATTACCCCAGTCCATATCCAAGTTCCTAGTTTCTATCCTTTCTTGTGATTATCTATATCTGTATCCCTTCCTTCCTATCTCCTTCTCTCTGTCAGATACTCCATTAGAGCTCTCAAACTCTTCCACCTATATTCCAACTAGTTACAGATATGACTCCTCCATCTTGTAGATATTGGGTCGGGGGCAAGCCAGAATTGTGGAATCAAGCCCTTAGCCGCACTCAGATTATATAGTACCCTGTTCTTATGCAATTTTACTAAAGGTTCAAATTTGTAAAATAAACATGTCTACGGGTCTCTATTTACAGTAATCACACATGTCTCCTGTATATATTGTAATATTCCTTCCAGTAATCCTGTATTTTTTCGGGCAGTACCACCAAATGTTTACCATTGTTCTCTTTTCCCCCTCACCCTCTCCAACATAAATGTGAAACCTCTACTTGTTTATTTGCCTTACTCATTTGTAATTCATTTCAACTGTGCTCATGTTCGTCACCTCGTGTTAATTTAAATATTTTATTCTTTTGTTGCTCATTCAATTTTGTTCCAAGCTCTTGTTCCCATTTTTCCAAGAAACTGGGGAGGATCGGTAACCTCCATATCCATAAGAATCTTATAAATCCTGGAGGTGGCCTTGTTTAGGAACTATTGTTACATTCAACAGTTTATCAAATGGATACGGATCCTCCGATGTCCTCAATGGTTGTGGGAGTGTTGAGACAAAATTACCTAATTGGCCATACCGCCACTTGTCTAATGTGAAAAATAAATCTTTTTTTTTTTTTTTTTTTTTCTCTATAAGTCTGAAAAAATGTGCAATTTCCCCTTATTCAGTATATCCTTTAAATGTGCATTCTTATCTTTAATCCATTTCCCAGAAATGTTATCCTTTTCTGGGGGGAAATACTCCGTTCCCGCCAAGGGAATCATAACTGAATTATGTTTACATCCCTTTTTGCTTATACCTTCTATTCCAAACACTTGAAATGTTCTTTGTCAGTGGACTAATATTCACATCTAATGTGTGTAATTTATGTGGTACCAAAACCATCTTCCCTAACTGTGCCTTACTCAAAGTCCCTTCCAAATTCACCCAATCTATTATTCGTGATATCACTGCTTGATATTTCTTAACATTAGGCATTCCCAAACCCCCATTCCCTTTTGTCCTACACAGTACCTCGTACCCAATCCTCGGTTTCTTGTTTGCCCAAATAAACTTAAGTATCATCTTCTTTATTACCCCAAAGAAAGATCCTGGTAGGTGTACTGGAAGCATGTGAAACGTATACAGGATTTTTGGTACTATCACCATCTTTACCAGATTTATACGACCTATCCTGGAAGCTCCACCTTTTGACAGTTTAATAGTGGGATATAATTTGCCACGTACAGGGCTTTTATTGAAGTAGTTAGTTTTATTCCCAAGTAGCCTATTTCATTTTCCCTCCGTGTAAATGGAAAGTCTTTTTGTAGACTCAGCTTCTCAACTTTTGGTATATTGATGTTTAAGATCTCTGACTTTGCAAGGTTTATTTTCAAATTTGATAGCTCACCGTACTGTTTAATAGCCTCATTAAATTAGGCAACATTATTCTAGGATTTACAATATAGAATAACATGTCGTCTGCATATGCTGCCACCTTATGCTCCACTTCCTCTCTCTCTATGCCTGCTATGTCTACACACTTTCTTACCTCTCCAAAACAGGTTTCAAGGACAAGACAAAATAAAGGAGAGTGTGGGCATCCTTGTCTAGTTCTGTTCATTTTAAAGAACTGAGAGAGGGATCCGTTGACCTTAACCGCTGCTGACGGAGCGCTATAAAGCCCTTTTATCCACCTTAACATTTTAGGCCCTTTTCTTAAGACCTCTAGCGTATCACTCATGAAGCCCCTCCTCCATTCTTTTTGGTTTCTGGGGCTCACGTACAGCCGGCTTTCATATTTTTGGAACCTTTTGGAAATATCAATGGTGGCGTACACCATTTCTCCTTTATCATCTTTAATTTTTCTATTAAGTTTTTGGATTTCTTTTCCTTTTTGTTTCCTCATTAAGTATTTTCTAGGTCTATTCCCCCACTGATATCTTTGAGACCATGTTGAGTATCCTTCTTGACTCCTGTTCCATAAGATTTTTTAATTCTTCTCTTTTAATAATGATCTTCTGATATACGTTTGTACCTGTCTTCTTTTTATTTGACTGTTCTAACTTGTAGAGCTCCTCCATCAGTCTTTTTATTTTTTTTTTCCCTCTTTTTTTTTTTTCTGCTCCCATTGAAATAAATGTTCCTCTGATATATGCTTTATGTGCCTCCCAAATTGTGGCTACTGACACCTCCTCGGTCTCATTGAGCTCAAAAAATTGCTCAATTTCCTGCCTTAATCTTTTCTCTAATTCAGGATCCTGTATAAGCATCTCATTTAGTCTCCACATAGTTACTTTATCCTGATCCCCTCCTACCCGTAGTCTCATTGTGACAGGAGCCTGATCAGAGATAGACGTAACTTCTATGTTGGCACTAACCAACGATTCCAGTTGTCTATGTTTGATCATTATATAGTCTAGTCTTGAGTATCACCCATGTACCGGACAGAAGGTGTAATCTTTCTCTTGGATGTTTTACTCTCCAAGTATCGGTCAGATGACACTGATATAATGGCCTCTTCAATAATTTTGATTTCTTACCCCCCTCTCTCCGTGTACAAGATGACGCATCCATCTAGGGATCCAAACACAGATTTAGATCTCTAGCCACAACCAGACTGCCCTTTTTAAGTTTAGAAAGTTTTCTGAACACGCCCTCCAAGAATGTTGCTGGATTTTTATTCGGGCAATAGATATTAACTAGTGTATATTCAGATCTTTGCAATTTTCCCCTCAGAAATAGAAATCATCCCCTCTGGGTCCTCCATTCTTCCCTCTAGGATAAAACTAACTTTTTTATCGTGGGTTACATCTATGGAGTGTTGGTGAATTTCTCTAAGTATCCTATGTCTTTTTGTTGGGGAGTTTAACCCTTTTACATTATAAGTCATAAACTTAATCAAGCTCATTTCAGCTATTTCCCTACCCTACAGGATTGCCAACACAGGAAGACAGATACAAACATTTTAGGATATGGTCTCTCTCTCTTCCTTCCCTGCCAGAAATCTCCATTTTCTTCACTCCCCCTCTCTGTTTGCCCACCCACCACCCCATTTCCCATCCTCCCTTTCCGCTTCTTCTCTCTACCCTAACACCACACCCCCCACCCTACCTATCTCACCCCTAAGACCCTCATGGCGTACATATTTCCATCTAATCTGTCGTGGCCCAATCCCACTAGCGATTCCTAATTTGGGGTGAGACTCAAAACACGCACGCCCACTCCAATCCCTTGCTCTAATCAGTCAGATTGGAGTCTGACAGCATATTTGACCTCTGGGCCACCCGCCAGCTCCACGCTCCCTCCATCCCTCAATCCCTTCCGTTGTCATCTCGACCAGGGAGGAAGGGACCAAGGGCGAAGGATCTATGGTGCGGCCAGTGGATGATGATGGGGGGGGGGAGAAAAAAAAACACCCTCTCCAAACCTTCCCCTCCCACCACACCTCTTTACTTCTTCTTGGCTACCCGCTGCCATTCTCCTGACCACTCCACCCTCCTTAAGCACTCTGACCACCCTTCAAGGTACAGTTTCTGTAAATCTAATTTCTCACAAAAGTCACCGAGATCTTGTAACCTCAGCCTTGCCAATTTCCCAGCTTTCCATCCAATCAGGCATGCTGAAAAACCCCAGTTGTATCGAACTTTTTTTTCTCTCTCATATGCTTTAGCAGCAGTTTCGGAGATCATCTTCTAGCCAGTGTCTCTATAGCAATGTCAGCAAAAATATGAAACCGTTTCCTCATATTTTTTCAGTAATGTCACGCAAACTTTTCCATATTCTTTCTCTGTCTTCATAATAATGAAATCGAACAATCACATCTCTGGGGCTTTCCGCCGAAACTCCTTTTGACCGTCTAAACCTATGTACTCAATCTTCAGATTTTCGATCGCTGATCTTACACACACTTTTTCTTTCTTAGATCCTCTTCTTGTTCTTCTGCTAGACCATGAATCCTTAGGTTCTTTTTTTTCTAGCACAGTTCTCCTGGTCTTCCACTTTTAAATAAAAGCTTTCTCTGTTCTCTACGCATCTCCTGTACCTGTGTTTCTAATTAATTAATTGAGCATGTGCTTCCATTCTCCCCTCTACTTCCTCAATTCGTGTTAGCATTCGACCCAAGTCACTGCATAATACCCCCATTTAATTTTTCAAGAACATCTCCAATTTTGCGAACATTTCCGCCATATCGGTTTTTGTAGGTATTTGTGACATGGCCGCTTGTTGTTCCATGACACTGTCCAAACTTATCGATTCTATAGTCTGGTTCTCTTCCTGGGATCCAGATGAAAACCTAGATGGATCTTCGTCAGATTTTCTAACTTCTTGTTGTTTTTCCTGAGTTCGATTCTCTGGACTTTTTTTCCTGGGGGGGGGGGGGGCATGTATTTTTTAATAGTAGCAGCTTTTGCAATTGGTTGAGAGGTTTTTGAACCCCCACCTCTAGCTCATTAGCCCTTCATTTCTGCTTCAACTCTCCTGTTTTCTGTTATTTCAGGTTTCCGGTAACTGTCACAAAAGTAATCACCTGAGCATCCCCGCACTAGGTTTTCTGTTTTATACTGTAATAAAATCGTCCCCAGCAAAAGGCCTTTTTTCTTTTACTTCTAGAAATTTTTGCCCTGTTTCTACTTCGTCCGCTACAAACCCCACCCCCCCACCCCCCCGCTCTCCCTCTCCTGGACCTTTAAGGTTTCACTGTGGGCTGGACATCCTCCACTGCCTGGGCAGTCCCAGCCGCCACCTCCTGCTCCTGGCCCGCCAGGGACCCAGGACTTGCCTAACGACCGCTGCTGACCGTAAGCCTTCCTCTCCGGGATCCCGGCACCAGGAGGGTCCCCTGCACTTGCCAGCCAACGCCGGGGGACCACCCAGCCACCGATGGACACTCACCAGCTGGAGCCTCGCTCAGGTCAGTTCTGGGCAATCGGGTACAGGCAGTCAGGCACACATAGCCAGCGGGCACCCAGAGCATGACGCTGCTCATGGCGCCATGTTCAGGCCCCTCCCTCGGAGAATGAAATTAATTATAAGATCTGGTGCACTGTGTTCTGATGTGAAAGTTGCAGTGTCTGCATGCCTTTAGAAGTATTTGCCCGGTTTTTCTCACCAAAAATTCAATTTCTGTAGTAGAGGATGCTTAAAATCTGACATCTTAGTGCAGATTTCTGGGAAAATCAGTGAGCCAATCACACCAGCAGGAAATTACATATTTGAGGTGTTCTTCCAGCATTTCCAAGTCCTTGACAATCACCAGTTAGACACATTCCAACCTCTGGGTTGGAGAGCCCTCTCTTCTCACTTCACAATCTGTAATCTATTGTGTCATGTGAGGTAAACCTAGAAAAGTGATAGCAGAAAAAAGGCCAAGTGATCCATCAAGTCTGTCCCATTTTATTTATACATATTTATGTTTGTGTTTTTTTTTTTTTTTTTTTTTTTTTTTGTTTATGTACAGTATCAATAGTTCTCATCTATTGTGACAGTAGGCATTCCCATCCTAGAACCTTTTGCCATTTCTCATGATAAAACTTCTGTTTTAATGTGTAACAACTGGCTCTTGGTACCTGGTCTTGGTTTAGACCTTGTGGATCCTCTTAACACCTTGGTTTTGCTCTTTGTGCATTCACTTATGTGCGAAATTGCTGCTTTTATTTTCCGTTGTGATTCTTGGGGGCCCTCCTCAGGTGCTGTTGCCCACCCAGAGCCCCTCCTTTGTACTCTAAGGGATTATTCTCTTATTAGGACCTTTTGTAGCAATTAAACTTTATCACCGGTTCTGCCTTGGCTCCCTGTGCTCTTTTTGGGTGTCCCCTCCTTTTTCTTACCTATATGGGGGCTTAGTATCTTGGAAGCCTGTCCTCCTTGATTACCTAGATACCTTTTATCCAGTTCAGTGGGCACAGCATTTTCCATCCCTATATCCTGCCTTGAAGACATGTCAACCATTATGTCATCTGGTGGTCAGCCATGTATTCCATTTCCAACTGACCCCTCTTCTGTTCCACAAATGGTGGTCCGTCATTGGAATTCCTCCTTCCACTTCCACCCAGCTGGTGGTTAATTTGCCCTTCTTTCAGGGTTTATGCTCTGAGGACAAGTTCCTTCCCTAGCTGAAACTCTTCCCCCAGTAGGTTGCGGTTTTTGGGTTCTTTGCATCTAGCATCAGCACTTCTCAAGGGTCACATGGCCACTACTTGTTTTTTGTACTTGAAGACTGCGTTTTTTTTTACATTTTTGTCTTTTTGAGCCTCTGTCGGTCCCTGACACAGCTACAAGGTGTTTTTTCTGTTGCTTGTTTGGTCCTGTGACCCTACTTGTTCTCCCTGTGGGCCTGTTGCTGCAATTGAGGCTGTTTCCTGCCCACCCCTAGATTTATTGCTTGGGAACATCCCATGGACTAAGAATCAACTCCTATGTTCTGCACTGTATGATTTATGAAAGCAGGAGTTTTGTTTTACCTGAAAATTTATATATATATATATATATATATATATATATATATATATATATATATATATATATATATATATATATATATATACACTGCTTTCTCAAAAACTGGAGCCTCATGGAATGGATGAGGTTTATATGGATACACTGAGGGGCAGTTTCCAGCAAATATTTGGCCAGTTACCTGAAGGTAGCAGCATTTTACCATGGCCTAAGAACTCCGGTATCCTGTACTATGCTCTAACATACGAAATATATAAGTACATCAAAATTTGTTTGAGGACACAAGTCCCCCCCCCTCCGTGTTTTTGGTAACCGTTTTTTTTTGCCAATGTCCAATCCTATAGGCAACAGTATAGCACAAAGGCTGTCTAGCCTAGTTCCTCAATGGACTTCAAGAAAAGGATAGGCGAGCAATAAACGCATATTGCATGTAGATGACTTTGGGGCTTGGACAAGGTATATGGGCACTAAAGGAAAGCAACCAGTCAGATTTAGGTTGCATTCCCACTTGAGCAGTTTTCGTATGAATTTTTGCCCCACAATTTAGCATTTTTTTTTAAACAGCGTTTTGTAGCTTTGGCGGTTTATTCGCCAATAGAGAAAAAAAAACATCTGTTGCATCATTTTGTGCTATGTTTTTCAGCTTTTTTATTTTTATTTTTTTTGTTTTTATTGTTAGGGTAAAGAGTTAGGGCTAGGGGTTAATATTTTCTTTGTCTTATTTATTCTTTATTTTTTTGCTAGGGTGTTAATGCTACTACTAATAAATAAATGTAAAATACACATAAAAAGTCAAAACGATTAAATACAATGAATATGATAAATAATCATTTAACCCCTAACCCTTGGAAAAAAAATAAACACCCCAATGCAAAAATGTAGTTACATTTTTTTTTTTGTCCATATTTGGGATATTATTGTTTTGTTAAGGTTAGGGGGTTATTCATTATTACATATTTTATGATTTTTATTTGTGTATTTTACATTTATTCACATATTACTATTTTTGTTACATTTTTCATTTGAGCAGAAAATTGTGATAAAACATACAAATTGTGTGTTTCCATTCATTTCTATTGGAATGAAACCGCGCAAATCTGCCCAATTTGAGCTACAAAAAAAAAGTTCTAGAAATTGCTTGAGCTTCAGGTGACTTGGAGTGGAGATGTGAACCATCTTCTTTGAGAATAATTGATTTTTGCTCCTCAAGCGTTCTGGAGCTTAAAGCTGCAAAATGCTCAAGTGTGCATAGAGGCTTAAGGCTCATTTACACCAACAGTACTGCATGCACTTGCATTTTTTGCAATATTTTCAATTTTTACAATTTTCTATACTAAAGTTGCATTTGCATGCAATCTTGAACGTTTGCGGTGCATTTATGAGCATTTATGTAAATTTTTTTGCATTCAAGTGCAGGAAAATGCATCGTGCTATATTTTTGTTAAATGCACTGCAATGGTGTAAACTGCTCATTGTAATACATTAATTTTCCTTGCATATGCATTTGAACTGTGATTTTGCTGCATTTAAAAATGCACCTGACTGCATCTGGTGTAAATGAGTACATAAACTTTCCTACAAGCAGCCCTGAAAATGGTAGTTGGAGGCTGGTTGTTAGGACTAATGACTGACTATTTGCCAGTGATCTACATTTTTTTTCTTGTTTTAACAGTAAATGTATAAGTGTTAACATTTTTTACATGTCTCTTACATTGTACACATAGTTGTTAGATTTTATAGCCAACAAGTTGTATGAAATATTTTTTTTTTCCTTTTTTTTATGCTGTATTTTTCCTATTTTTTATTTTTCTATCTCAGAGTGATGAAAATGACCAAGAGCATCAGTCAGACACAGATGACAGCACCAACAGGAAAGACAGCAAAGTATGCTTATTTGTATGTGTTTTTTTTTTTTTTTTTTTGTTTTCTTATTGGTCATGTATTGGAATTTCTTTGTGGTTCTGCAGTTCTACCCTGTCAGCAGCTCTAACCCATGATCTGATTCTGCTGAGCCACAATGATTATGCATTGAAATGATAAATTTTGCTCCCAGTCCATGCTGCCACCCTGCTGGTCACCATGCTACAGTGGATATAAAAAGTCTACACACCCCTGTTAAAATGTCAGGTTTCTGTGATGTAAAAAAATGAGACGATAAATAATTTCAGAACCTTTTCCACCTTTAATGTGACCTATAAACTGTACAACTCAATTGAAAAACAAACTGAAATCTTTTGGGGGGGGGGGGTGTAAACATAAAAAACTAAAATAATGTGGTTGCAACACTGGGGGGGATGTGGCTGTGTTCAGAATTAAGCAATCACATGCAAAATCATGTTAAATTGGAGTCATTACACACCTGCCATCATTTAAAATGCCTCTGATTAACCCCAAATAAAGTTCAGCTGTTCTATTAGGTCTTTCCTGACATTTGCTTAGTTGCATCCTACAGCAAAATCCATGGTCCTCCAGAGAGCTTCCAAAGCATCAGAGAGATCTCATTGTTAAAAGGTATCAGTCAGAAGGGTACAAAAGGATTTCCAAGGCATTAGATATACCGTTTCACAGTGAAGACCGTCAACATCAAAGTGGAGAAAATATTTGATGAAAAGACCAGAAGAAAACTGGTCTGGGAGGCTGCCAAGAGGCCTAGAGCAATGTTAAAGGACCTGAAGGCATATCTAGCAAGTACTGGCTGTGTGGTACATGTGACCACAACCTCCCGTATTCTTCATATGTCTGGGCTATGTGGTAGAGTGGAAAGACGGAAGCCTTTTCTTACAAAGAAAAACATCCAAGTCTGGCTAAATTTTGCAAAAACACATCTGAAGTCTCCCAACAGCATGTGGGAAAATGTGTTACGGTCTGATGAAACCAAGGTTGAACTTTTTTGGCCATAATTTCAAAAGCTAGGTTTGGCACAAAAACAACACTGCGCATCACCAAAAGAACGCCATACTCAGTGAAGCATGGTGGTGGCAGCATCATGCTTTGGGGCTGTTTTTATTCAGCTGGAACTTGGGCCTTAGACAAGGAATTATGAACAGTTCCAAATACCAGTCAATATTGGCACAAAACCTTCAGGCTTATGCTAGAAAACTGAACATGAAGAGGAACTTCATCTTTCAGCATGACAATGATCCAAAGCATACATCCAAATCAACAAAGGAATGGCTTCACCAGAAGAAGATTAAGGTTTTGGAATGGCCCAGCCAGAGTCCAGACATGCATCCGATCAAAATCTGTGGGGTGACAGATTTGGAGTGTTTTTGCCAGGAAGAGATGGACAAATATTTCCAAGTCAAGATGTTCCATGCTGATAGACTCATACCCAAAAAGACTGAGTGCTGGAATAAAATCAAAAGGTGCTTCAACAAAGTATTCGTTTTAAGGGTGTGCACACTTATTCAACCGTATTATTTTAGTTTATTTTTATTTTCCTCCACCTAAAAGATTTCAGTTTGTTGTTCAACTGAGTTTTACAGTTTACATTAGGTTACATTAAAGGTGGAAAAAGTTATAAAATGATTTATATATCTTATATTTTTACATCGCAGAAACCTGATGTTTTAACAGGTGTGTAGACTTTTTATATCCACTGTATGTTGGATTATTCATATCATTGATCAAAATTGTTAGTAAATAAAGTCCAAGGTAGGGGTTAATGAGAGGTCACATCATTTCCTTTGTTCTAGGGATACACCGAAGTTTTAGAGGCCGAAGTGTGTTGGCCAAAAACACCCCTATCGGTCTGTGGCCGATTTTATGAAAATAAGCACAGATACAGGTGCCGAAAATGACCCCGCCCCTCGCTGACGCTCGGTTGTTCTCAGCTTTACCTGAAAAACCATTGAATGATCCCAGTGCTGGGCATAACGATAAGTGAAGGAAGGATGGCCTCCACTCATCTCTATCATCTCTATGCCCTTGGAGGACTGGAGCAACATCACTGTCAATTCTGGTTCTGGCGTTTTGTAAACAGTGCCATTTTTTTTTTTTTAAAGCACTAGATCAATGCTTTTGTTGATTTAATGCTTTACATTGCAGAGGAGAGATGTGGGGTTTTATTGACCCCATGTCTCTCCATAAAGAGGACCTGTCACTGCTTATTTCTATCACAAGGGATGCATGCATTCCTTGTGATGGGAATAAAGGTAATGAAAAATTTTTTTTAAGGGACAGTGTAAATAAATAAAAAAAAAAAAGGTTAAGGTTTTAACGTGTAGTGGTGAACGCATACGTAGGCCACACCCACATATGTAAACAGTGTTCAAACCACACGTGAGGTATCGCCATGAACGTCAGACCAAGAGCAATAATTCTAGCACTAGACCTCCTCTGTAACTTTAAACTGGCAATGTTTAGAAATCCTTAAAGCGTCGCCCATGGAGATTTTTAAGTACCGTAGTTTGACTCCACTCCATGAGCATGCTCAATTTTAAAGTATGACATGTTGGGTATGTATTTACTTGGCGTAACATCTTTCATATTTTGCAAAAAAAGGGGTATATAGATTTGTGTGTTTGTTTTTTTTGTTTTGTTTTTTTAATCAATGTATTTTTTTTCAAAATTGCGTTTGATTTTTAAAACCTGTCCATTTCGGTTTTTGGCCAGGTGCATCCTGAATTTTCGGTTTCGACACCAGAGTGTTTTTAATTTTGGTGCACTTTATTCTATGAAGGTTTTTAAACGGCTATATTTTAATGGCTGCTATATGTAGTATATATATGACAGAAAAGTAGTACTCAAACTTTTCTCAGTCAAGGCACCCTTTACAATTTGTCACAATCTTGAGGCACCCCCATTCTAAAACAGCCACACATGTAGGACACCTAAAGTGATTTATTCTTCCAAAGCAGGTACACCTTTGCACACTGGAATTAACTAGTATTGCAATCTTTCTCTCTCTCTCTCTCGCTCTTTCTTTCTCTCTTTCTTGCTCTCGTTCTCTTTCTCGCGCTTTTTTTTCTTTCTCTCTCTCTCTCTCTCTCTCTCTCTCTCTCTCTCTATGCCCTCCAGATCAACCAATTACATTATTGGTTATTGGGATGCAGGTGGCTAGAAGGTTGTAATGGTGCACAATGAAAACCTGTGGCTTTGTGTAATTAAAAGGCAGGCTTCATCCACCCACTGGCATGTATACAAAGTTTTAGGCATTTTTCCAAGGTACTCCTGAAGAAACCTGAAAGCACCTCAGTTTGCCTGGGCACCCTGGTTGAAAAAGGCTGTTCAAAGCGACATGACAGAATCAGAGATTACTTCTTTTCTTTGAATAAATGTGTACACAATGGCGATCCAGAAGGCAGTACACACATCCTGAGGCAACAATGAATAGTGTGAGAAGTGGGCAAAATTTCAAGCCATTTTAAAGTCTAAAAATGTTATACATACTTGCTCTGTACAATGTTATAGGCCTGGTCTTCAAGTGGTTAAACATTAAAAGATACCTATAAATGAGGCAATTATATCCTGGAATGTATGTTTGTAGTGAAGCTAACATAAACTTTGGCAGGATTGCTTACAAGAAGTCTTTCAAATAGTTGTATGGTTTATTCCTTCTGCAGGTTCTTATGTAAATAAGATGAATACAAATTCATAGTTCACAGGTTCTTTTTAGACGTGCAGTCATAATTGTGTGTGAAGCATGCCATCAAATCTGGCGTCTGCTCAAGAATGCTACAAGTAGACCAAAGTTCACTAGTTCGTCTTATTGATCCAAGAGAGAAACGCAAGACCTACCATGTGTTCCCAAGACATTTTATGGAAACTTGACAACCAATTCAAGTGATTTAAAGAAGAAATCCGGGAAAAAATTGTTGGCCTGTTCCTGCACTGTATGGGTTAGATGCTTGTTTTTGTCTAGGGGGTTTATAAAGCTGAGACATACTTGCCTAATCTGCCGATCCTCTTGAGTGCACTCTAGCAGTCTTGTGAATGGGCTTGTGAATCCGTTATCATGCCCACAGACCAGCTTCTGATGTTGGGACAGCAGGACCAGTCCACTGCTGGATGTGGGGGAACCCAGTTTTTCAGAGGACAGGGCAAGTATAGTCTTTCCCTGAGCCCCTCGACAAAACGAGCAGTTAACCCATGCAGTGCGGGCACAGCCCCACTGCATGGGAAAATAAAAATAATTAACTGAAGTTCTGCGTTAACACTACAGACTTTTAGCTGTCATTTAAACCGTTTTAGTCATCCTTTTAGTCATTCCTACTGTACAACTCCTGAATTTTGATGAAGTTAAACTAGGCAGGAACTTAAACTGGCCATTGATGTTAAAGATCATGAAAGTGTCAATAAACCTTTTTTAAAATGTTCACATTTGTGAATAGCAAATTGTACAATGGAAGCAAGAGTGTTCTGCCAACATAAAAAAGAAAACTTTTTTTGTGGTTTTAAATCTTGGTCATGCGACATACTGCACTTACCCTGCACCGTACTGAAGCAAGATGGCAGAGCAATGCAGAAAGTTGTATCTGTGTCAAAAATAGATTTCGCTGTTAGGAGCCTGACACACTCCTAGGCATCTATGTTCCGCCTTAGCCCACCACTCCTGCCCTGTGCCCTCAGCTGCAGCACTTCCATTAGCATCATATTAGCGGCAGTTATGGAGAGAGGAAGAGACAGGTGGCGATGAAAGCACTGAATGGTGGGCTGAGGAGGGACAAAGCAAAGAAGTGATTTGCCAGGCTCTTGTCATTCAACCCTCTGGTGTTCGCTCCACAAGCCAACAAAGAATCACGTGTTGTGGCTTCCAGGTAAAAAAAAGAATGCAGTGAGCTGCTGCTAGAGCATGTGCAATTAGAATGGCAACTCCACAGCCAGAGGATTGGCTGCTTTTATGGCTGCCACTAACAATAAGGGAGTCCATGGACACTGCAAGATCAGCCAGGTATTTACTTACAAGGAATAGTTATGCTGGAAAGCTTTTACACACAGATTTAAAATACATTATTAAAAGTAACTAACAAGACACTTCAGTGCTTAGCTCAAGTCTAATCTGAATTGCCATGCCTTATTTGCCTTGCATTCTTATTTTCAATTGTGTGATTTTTTTTTTTTTTTTTTTTTTCTTTTTCTCTTTTTCTCTATATGTAGATGGACAGCCTATCAAGGTATGTATTTTTTTCTGTAGCACATTATGAACCTTTATATAGTACTTTTGTCCATAGTCTGTAATATACATTTTAATGAAGGGACATATAGACTTTATGGGGTTGATTTACTAAAAGCAAATACAGTGCAGTTGCTCCAGAGCTTAGTAAATGAGGTGAAACTGCTCTTTACAAAGATTACCAAATCACATGCAAGGAAAATTTAAAAAAAGCATTTTGCTTGCAGCATTATTAGGATAATGGAAGTCATCAGAACTCCCCCATCATTTGCTAAGCTCTGGAGCACTTGCAAACTGCTAAGTTAGTTTGCCTTTAGTAAATCAACCCCTATGCATTTTCTGCACGGTTTACAGGCTCATTATGTTTGTAGTACATTGGTTTGCTTTTATTACATATTGTCGAAAATCAGGGTTAAAATAACTGATTATTTCAACCCTCTGTTCTCTAATTTTGCAGTTGCTCAATAAAAATGACCAATTGTACACCATTTCTAAGATCTAAAAACTCACAAATTGAGTATCATGCAAGTCTGTGGAATCAGTGAATTGGAAGGCAAATATATAAAGCATAAGCTTGATTATTTGCTAGAGGCCTATGCTGCAAAAGTTTTGACTGGTGCTGAAAATGTGTAGAAAATCAGTAATAGGTGCTAATTAGTTTTTGTCTTAAAATTGCTACATTGCTTAAAATGTAAAATGATCTGCAATTATTTTTGAAGGAAAAAACCGTTTGACATCCAGTACCTTGTCTAAGGAGTGTTGAGAAATTTATTTTGTTCTCTGCCAATATTTAATGCATCTTTACACTTGTATAAAGAATTAGTGGTTGTAAACCTCAGCCATGAAATATAAGTAAAGCTTATCCCTCTAAAGTGTGTCTCAGTCCAGAACACTGTGTCATTTCTGTCTGTTGCCTCATTCCTCTATCTGCATGAGTCACGTCTGACAAGTTTTCCTGACACCAAGAGAAAAAAAGGGACGGGAGGAACCTCCAGCTTACAGCCTGTGGTTGACTGCCTCCGTTGTCTTCCTGTGTGAAGGGGAGGGTGTCTCTTCCCTCCAATCAGCTCTCTGCTCTCCTCATTGAGCACTGCAGTGTGTAACTTCAGCCCCCTGTCCCCTTTCTTGAACTTTATAAATTCTGCACTTTGAACAGATGTAGAGATGACTTCAGATAAACAGGTAAGACTTATGTAAGAGGATTTGTTTGATCTGTGAGGCAAGTCGCGTCACTGGGCATGTGGAAGGGTTTACAACCACTTATGTAGCCTTACAATTGAAAAACAGGATTTCTGTGTAAAAATGTAAAATAATTGTTAATTATTTGCAGGTATCCAGGAACTTCTGGTGTTTTAGCCAGTGATCGATATGAATCAAATATTGGATCTTCTAGTTATTTAGAAAGAGGAAAATTTATTCACAGCAGACTAGAAAAGGATGATTCTACTGATTTTAAAAAGGTAATGATGGATTGCCATTCTGCAACACGAGGTCTTTCCTATTGAGTTCTATAGTTCAAAACTGTTTCTGTTAAGTTTGATAGTCTGCAGTTTATAAGGATTCCTGTTCTCATTCTAGGCTAATGTCACACAAGTAGTTTTGTAGCAGCTATAGATGCATTTTTCCTGAGTTTGTTTTATGCAGGCATAAGTTATGGTGTTCTGCTTAGTAACGGGAGACATGCTGATCTTTATTGTGACTTAACAGAATGTCACAATGCTTGCCTGACAACACATTTAGTGAAAATGGCATTTAATTAAATTGTGCTTTATATTAATGCATTCATGCAAAGTATCTCCTGATTTTTCTGTTCTTTTGTTCCAGTTATATGAACAAATTATAGCAGAAAATGAGAAGTTGAAGGCCCAGTTGCATGACACCAACCTGGAATTAACAGAACTAAAGTTACAGCTTGAAAAAGCAACACAGGTTTGGATATACCTTGAAACAGTTTAGCATTTATGACATGTAGAACATGGGTGGATTCAGGTAGTGGGTTTTCTCTGCCTCCTCATCAGTGGCAGTTGCAGGAGGCGGGTGGGGGGTTACACACACCAGGTTGCTACAAGGGACCTCTATACAAATGTTGATTGTGGTACATGTTGCATATTGCTGTGCATCATTGAGTGAGCTTGTTAATTCCAGGGTCATTATTCATGTTGGTGAAGACCTGTAAGGGTTTTTTTAAATGGTCACCTATGGAAAATTTAGGGTACCGAAGTTCAACGTCATTTTACAGGTGTGCACAGTTTTAAAGCTTGACATGTTGAGTATTTGTTTACTCATCGTAACCTCATCTTTTATTCTGTACCAGAAAATTGGATAATATATTGCACTCGTGTGCCCTAAAAATGATCCTTAGCATATTTTTTACCAAAAATTTGCTATTAAATAAACTATGGCACAAATATTGCCATAATATTATGGAACTAACACTATTATATTCTCCAGGGTTTTGTTTTCTTAAAAAAAAAAGTATATCTGAGGGTTTTAAATAATTTTTAAGCCTAATATTTAAACGTGTACAAAAACACAAACATTGCTCTGGCAGCAAAAGGGTTACAGTATTATCTCCATAGGAACTAATCCTTTCTGCTGCTCTACTTGATACCAGTAGAACTTCGGTTTTGTAGAGGAATTGCTTTTATTTCAGATGGCCAGGGATGCTTTGCAGAAGGGTATACATCCTGCTGATGCTGATTTGCCTTTTCTGTTTCAGCGGCAAGAACGATTTGCAGACAGATCACTTTTAGAAATTGAAAAAAGGGTAAGCATTTGTAAATTGTATTGCTCCCTGGTATATGAAATGTCACTGAATAACCACAACCTATGATGGTGATAATGTTCAATCACTCAAATCCCAGCATGCCTTCCTAATGCGTCAATAAACCGGGACAAACTTAGAGCCAGTAAAATCTGAAAAGTCTAAACAGACATCCTTCTTTCTTGGTTTCTGGTCAGTGACTCACTAGGGAGTAAAGCCAGCATCGTTTAAAATGCACAACGAAAATAATTTACTGATACTGTTACAGCTCTAGAAGTGGTATAATTGAAGTGAAACTAAACTCTCTCAATCAACATTACCTACAGCATTGTAATCCTTATGCTACTAGCCTTAGTAAATAGGAAAGTATATTATATTTATGGGGGTTTTTTTTCCCCATTTCTTCAGTTGCTTCATGTTTTCTGGCCTAGGCTAAATGTTCTACTTCCCAGGAGGCATTTTGTTTCTTTATCTGGAGGAGGGAAAAAGGGGCTTTCTCAGCTAAGCACACCCTCCTCCCTGCTAGCCTGAGCAAGGACAGATGCACTTCAGGAAGTGAATGCTACATGAATATTCAGTCTTTAGGGCCAGTTCACACCCTAGAATTGCAGTCCAGATGCATTTCTGTATGTTCCGGTTCATTTTTGCTCCTCTTTCTTCAACTTAAATAGTCTTCAACTTAAACATGTGTGTTCAGCGCATTTTTGGTGCGTTTTTTTTTTTATGCCTTTTGCGGCATTCCAGTACAGTTCAGTATGTTAGTGTTTTTTTTTTTCTGGAACTGACCACACTGGTGTCAACTATACCATTGGAAACCATGTAACCTACTATCATGATCCAGAAAAAAAAAACGCATGTGTGATTTGGCTGTTACATAAGATTGCTGCAGCTAGGAATGCTAGGGGGGTATTTTTTCAAACGGACTTCTCAACAAAATAAAGCATGCAGAACATGGGTTGATGGGTGCGTTTGCTGTGAATATTAAATTATTTAGTGTTTTCAGTTTGTCGTGCTCAAATACATAAGTTTGGCTTTAACTAAATTGAGTAGCACAGGCAAATTATTCATACGTCATAGGTTACAGGCTTGTATCTTTAGGCGTTAGAACATGGGCAAGCTATTGAGTGAATACCCACACATGTAGCTATGACGAAGACCGCTAGATGAAAGGGAACCAAATTTTAAATATCAGGCCAGCACTTGCTCTGCCGAAGGTCTGCACAACACCTGGCAGCAGAGTGAAGATGCATTCCATGCACCAGAGCAGGATCCAGTTTTAACAGCGGAGTCCACATCAGACTTTAGCTCTATTTCAGGCATTCAAAAAAGGCTAATGAATTTTCCATGTCTCCCAATTCCTTGGACAGATTACAGTCATCATTGTTCATCTTTTCTTCTGTTTCTCACCTGAGTTTGGACCCTGATAATCTGGTCCTAGAGGACGCAGGAATCAGAAGGGAATGAAGAGAATGTTGAGGCAGTGTTGGAGGAAGCTGAAGATAATTTACCTTCCCCACATTGCCACTATATTAAATATGGAGCTTTATTCAACATGCTTACAAAGTTTGCCTCTGTTTTCAAAAGCCTTGGCATTGTGCAATTTGGCTCTTCTGGCTTGCCATTCACCTTTGAGCACAGAGAGACTTGCAAATATTCCAAAATATTCCCTGCTCATGAACAGATATGCAGTTTATAAAGATTGGGTCACTCTTAAAATGTTTTCCATTCCCCAAAAAAATCTTTACTGAAGTCTATCCATTGGAAGAAAAGCTTGCAAAAAGGACTATTTCATTCATTGAAGGGGACATTTCTTATATAAGGGGGAATCTGCTGCACCAACTATACTGCAAAGAGCGGCTGGCAGAGGCTCACCCCTCAGCAGACGCATATACTGTTTGGACCACGTTCTTCTGTTGTGGCACTGCAAACTGGCCAACGTCGCTCAGATCCTCATAGGATGAAAAGTAGTTGTCTGAGTTGTTCCCCTCTCAATCTTTTGCAGTGGGTGACCACCTTGGTGGCCATCTCTTCAGCATGTTGGGTGTTCAAGCTTACGGCTCCTACTTGTAAGCCATCATTTCTCGCTTCTACACAAGGACAAGGTGGTGCTTCGTCCTACATTGTCCTCCTTGCCAGGTGTGGTGTCGTTTTTTTTTTTTTTTTTTTTTTTTTTTTTTAGGTAAGCGCAATTTGTGTGTTTCGTTACTGTCCCCATGAAAGGTGTTTCTCCTTTCCTGGCTGTGATTGGAGCCAGTTGAGACTACCTCTCAATTACAGTCCTCTTTATCTCTATAACTCCCTTTTTTTGTTCCAAATGGACCTAGACAAGGTCCAGCTGTTTTGTCTTCCACTATTTCTAGGACTTCGCCATAGATTTTCCAGGTCTTTGCCTTGTTGGGCCAAGAGGCTCCATTCCCAGTTACTATGATTTTTTACCAGAGCGCTTAGCGTATTCTGGGCATTTCATCTTTTTTCATCTCCTTTTCACTTTGCATGGCGGCTGCTCAGTAAACTGTTCTTACTTTTACCTAGTTCTACATGGTTGATATAGCTGCCTCTGTGGATGCCAGATTGGTTGGTATGATTTGCAGGCGGAAGTTTGAGTTCTGATTGGTGCGGCTCCCTGTTTTGTATATGGTACCACCTTTCTTCTTTGTGGCACTCCTTTGGGATATCCTATCCATTATAAAGCAAAGCTGTGTTCTTTAATGACCAAAAAAAAGAAAATGGTATTTTCATACTCACCATGAAATCCCATTTTTACTTCATTGAAGGACACAGCACCCACTCAATCTGTTTAGCTGTCCAGATGTTCTGTCCTGGTACTGCTGGCTACTAGCTGAGCTCTGTCTTGCCAATGGGGGGGGTTGGCCACCACCAGAGGGCTGCCCCTTAGGTGTGCTTTTAATTAAGCTGCCCCTAGCGTCCTGCTCCTGAAGGTGGTGGCCTCAAATCCATTCCTTACAAAGAAATTCTGTGTCCTTAAATGAACTCGAGAAGAAGGATTTTGCAAACACAAAAATATCATTATTCCTGTGGTTGACCCTGCCTTTGCTGACCTAAACATCTCACTGTTCCTATTGAACATGATTGTCTTTCAAGTTTCTGCTGTAAAAGCTCTTTAACCTTTCAGGTCCAGCCCTGTAAACAACTCACTGCAAATTCTTTCTGTCAAACTGAAGGTAACTGAGGACAATGAATAACCAACAAGACCCTGTATTTCAGAACCATGCTGTGGCTGAGCAATTTCAACCGTTGCCATCTGGTGTACATTTTTGTGTAGATGCCCTGAAACCTGTCATGATAAAAAATATGTGCAGAATTGTATGGCTTGCTACTTGTAAAAGGGGGCCTTTCCAGGGCCTTCCATCTGTTTGAGGCACTTGACCCTTTTATCGAAGTCACAGGTAGGAAGGTTTTGTTTCCGGTGAAGAAAGCATCAAAACCCCCTTCCTCAGAAGCGCTTTGCTTCTCTAAACGCAGAGCACCTGCACGCTCAAATCGGGGGTTCAACTTCAAAACCTTAGTTCAGCCCTTGCTTCTAGGATTGGGGAGACATCTGTTACAATTTGCATCTCTGGGTCACAGACATCCCAGACCTGTGGGTTAAATTGGTGGTTCAAAGGTACAAGACAGAGTTCAAAATTCTACCATCACTCCATTTCTTTTAAATCAACCAAAACCTGTCCGAGGGCAGTTAGATTTTTAGAATGTCCCCAGCCATTTCTTGCCCCAGGGAGTCTGTGCTAGTTTCTTCCCAGGACAGGTTCAAGGGACTCAAACCTGTTGACTGTACCAAAGCCCAACCAGGTGTTCGTCCTACCCTGCACTTAAAACCCCTAAACAAATTCCTTCAAATTCTAAAATTTTGCATGGAGTCCACAAGGTCAGGAATGGTCTACGTGGACATCCAGCATGCATATTTGTAAGTTTATAATTACCCACCTCTGTCAGTGATTTCTGTGCTTTTGGCCTTTGATTATGCTCCGGTCTCCATAGAATAGAGCAAGTGAGGAAGATGGAAATTCTACTGGCACTGAACACTTTCCAATAGACCAGATCAGCTATCCAAAGGCCTTCTATTCACATTGCTTAACAGTCTCTGACTTTAAAACCATGACTGTTGAAACCAAAGTCTTAAAGAATAGAGCGATTTTTGAGTCTGACTCCTACCTTCCTGAAAGCAAGCAAGGCCATTTCCTGAAAGATTTATTACTAGAAATGTTACTTTGCCTGGTGCAAGCACAGTCAGTTCAGTCCCCGAGATTACTCTGTCTCCCATTCTGGCCTTTCTGCCAACATTCATAGGAATTTTCTACATTGCCTGGATGTAGTCAGAACCATTAGAGAGTATATAAAAGCTTCACCTTCTATCCTCAGGACATCGCATGGGGAATCCCGCTTCAAAATCTACCATTGCATGATGGATAAGCAGCTTGATTTCAGCAGCCTAGGCGCTAAACAAAAGCCTTGTCCTGTGCTGTTACTCGCCTACTTCACCAGATCTGTTGCAGTATCCCTGGCTTTTAGAGCACCACACCTCTGTTCCCCAACTGTGTAAGGACTTTATCTGATCTTCTGTTCATACAGTGCCTTAAAGTATTCATACACCTTGAAATTTTTCACATTTTGTCATGTTACAACCAAAAATGTAAATGCATTTTATGTGATAGACCAACACAGAGTGGCACATAATTGTGAAGTGGAAGGAAAACGATAAATTGTTTTCAAAATTTTTTACAAATATCTGAAAAGTGTGGTATGCATTTGTATGCAGGCCCCCTTTACTGATATCCTTACTAAAATGTAGTGGAACCAATTGCCTTCAGACGTGACCTAATTAGTAAATAGTCCACCTGTGTGTAATTTAATCTCAGTATAAATAAAGCTGTTCTGTGAAGCCCTCAGAGGTTTGTTAGAGAACATTAGTGAACAAACAGCATCATGAAGGCTAAGGAATACACTATACAGATCAGGGATAAAGTTGTGGAAAAGTTTAATGC